AACTGAAAATGAATCCGAAGGAAAGTTAGACTTGATATCCAGCATTCCTCGATGAAGAGTCCATTTCCTCTGAGCTGTTTTAAATGTCTACATTTCTGATCGTGTCAAAACAGAGAGTACTTTTCACAACTGAACAATGGATTGTTTCATATAAATTAATCATTGTGCATCATTATGGACATTTATGTATTTTTCATGTCAGATTCTGTGAAAGCAAGAACATAAAAAGTTTACCTCATGACTTTTATAATACCATTTTCTGAAAACTATTAAAACTGCAATATGTAATGTAATAGTTTTTTGTTAACAGGCCTACATTTTGTTGGAAAGACTTTAGAATTTTACATTTAGTCATTGAGAAGACTTACATTGAGAAGACATTCAGCAATTCAACAAGAGTCAATACACACGCGAAGTGTTAGTTATACAAAGTAACTTGCTTGTGCTCAGAGAATTTAGTGAGAGAGAGAAAAGTGTTTCTACAGGTGGTTTGTCAAGCCCATTCACCTGTGGCAAGCAAACTTCATAAATGAACAGTTTAGAGGTCTGCACGGGACTGTTTTTTAGTCCCACTCCCCCAAGGTTTTTTTTTGCACCTGACCGTTGCTTTATATTCAGTCTTTGTTCAACCGCTACCCGCTTAGAATAATTTTCTACCTGACCCGACCATTCCAGCTAATTTTAGATCTGGTTTATAAAATCTTACATTTAAATTGGGTAGACTACTACCAAAAGAGAGAGAGATAACAAAATTTATTTATTTGTATTCATCTTGTCAAGATGCTTTTAATTTTTATCTGTCAACATAGAAAATGTGTTGCAAAAATAAATAAATAAAAATTGATGTACAACAAAAAGAAATCTGTCACTTAAAATTATAAAGAAAAGAACAAAATCATTGGCCATGATGCATGAAAAAACTCCCATACATCAGACTTGCCAAATGTGGGTTTCACATCATGCAGACCTCTAGTACAGTGTTTGAGTCTGTTATTGTTTCAGAAAAATTAATGAGTGTTTTCTACAGGTGGTTTGTTAAGCCCACTCACCTGTGTGAGGCACACTCACAGTTTATAGTATTTTGGGTTGGTGTGTTATGAGATGGTAGAGAGAAAAGGGGTTTTGGTTTTATTCATCATTATTCATTTGGTTTTGTTCATGTGCTCTTGCAAAAGATGGGTTTTAAATTGTTGTTTGAAAGATACCGTTTAATTTTAACAGTTAAAAACGTAAAAAAATCTTTTTTATTTTTGCTGTTTTTTCAGGTATTTCTATTTTTTGTCTTTGAACAAACTATTCAAGTATAAACATATGGGTGTGTTTGTTCGTTTCACATACATTTACTGTGAAAGTTTAATGTGTGTACTGTACATATGCACCTTTGCTTTTTTTAATTGAAAAAATAAAAATAATAATAATAATAATAGTGCATCATATTTTTTCTGATCTCTTATCAAAGAGAGTAGTAATCAATCAAAAATAAGAAAGAAAATGTGTACAGCCTTTAGTATATGGACGATCATAAATTTAATTTATTTTCAATTTAAAAAGTTGTATTAAAATCGTGTATAAAAAAAGTAATACATGTTTAAGATATTAGAATGAATACATGTAGTTATCATCAGGGCTGATACTGGCAATAAAATCTATATCAGTGAAAGTCTAAAAATATAAAACTTTTATTATGTTTTCTGACAGACGTTTCTGTACCTGTTTGCAACCCTTTTTTCAAACTGACACACAGGGGTGAAGACATTCTGCCTGATGTGTGGCTATTAACTGTGGTATTGAAATAATTCCACGCTCGCAGTTGTTTTGTTAAACCTTCAAAGATGAAAAAGATGTGGTGACGCAAAGCATGTGCAATCCTCTATTCTTTTGTTATAGAGGAAAAGGAGAGGTGAATCTTATTCGGTGCAGATTGAATCCAGAGCCTCAGACCCGGAGACACCGGACCTCTTTGTTCTTTTATATTGATTGCTCCAATCAGTACAGGGAAAAGAAAGAAGAAGAAGAAAAAAGCTGTGTGCCCTCAGGTTTGACGAGAAGATGGTGAGCAAAATTATTTCTGAAGAACTTTGAAGTTTCTCAACCACAATGTCAGCCTTCTATCCTATTTTCTTCCTCCAGTTTTTTCTAGTCTCTCACAGTTTTCCATTTTTATTTTACTACTTCCAGACACACAAAATGGTATAATTTAAACCATCCCCAAATAGACACAGAAGCATAAATAATTGAATGAAATAGGGAGTAGTTTTTGCAGAAATACACCAGCGAATTATTTAGGAATATATTTTTCTGCCTCTGATCCATTCGAGAGAACATAGATCCTGGTGTCGAGAAGGAAACTATTAATTACTTCCTGACCAATGGGTGCTGAGCAGGCGTGAGCCAAGATGGATAAAACTAGGGCTGCACGATAATGGAAAAAATCGGACATAACAATATTTAGTTTTTCTGCGATACACAGTATATTGCAATATGAATACAATTTCGCCAGATGACTACAATAGCCCCTTTCACACATACAGACCTTTCCGGAAAATTGCCGGCAATTTTCCGGAAAGGTTGTATGTGTGAACAGGTCCTTTTTGAAAATACCGGTAAATTCGTTCTGGCTATTTTCCGGAAAGAGAAGTTGTAACATTACCGGCAATTTGCCGGAATGCTGCGCTGTGTGAACGCAGAAGGAAGATTCCCGTAATAAGCGCGTGCACGTCTAGAACGTGCTGACGTGAGACGTCTGCTTTAGCCAATCACAACAGTCAAGCCTTTGAATATTTTTCCAGACACATTTAACTGCTAGAAGTTAGTCAGATCACGTTTATATGTTCTTCTTAATGCCAACTGTGTAAATAATTATCGATGAGATGCTTATGATAAGCCGTTGTTTGTTTACCTTCAAGCTTTGCGTGCGCCTATGAGCGCCTGCACACGTACATATTATGAACATCTCGACATGCGAAAGTGATCCTGCGAAAGTTGTTCACAATATTGATCATCCACAGAGTTTGTAATTTAGTCAAATGCTTACAAATACAAGCGCAGCCGTTTAAAGCTCATTTGTGGTGAATGATGTCAGAATTTACCGGTATTTTGGAATGGATGTGTGAATGCTCTTTTCCGGAAAATTTCCGTAACGTCCTCGCCTGTGTGAACAGCGCTTTTTTGAATATACCGGTAAAGTCGTTCCGGAAATTTTCCAGATATTTACCGGTATCACTGTGTGAAAGGGGCTAATATCTCTATCTGGAACAAATTTTAGATTGATTGGTATGGTTCTGTAGGGAAGTGCATGTGCATAAAATAAAATAAACAATCCACAAGCATAAATAAGAAAAAAAATACAATTTAAATAAAAAAGTGTTTTGTTTTTTTCTAACAGTATTCACATAGACAGTAATTGATTAATCAACTGTAAAACAGTTTCCTCTAGGATTTTTTTTCTAGCTGTAATGGCAGACATTTTACACTGATCTTCAAACTACCTATGGCGTTATTTTAATGATAAATGTCATAAGCACAGTATTACAAGTCGAGATCACATTCAAGTAATACTAGCAGGCGAATCTCTTGTTTTGAGTGCTGATTTCCTCTGTTCGTGCACAAAACTTCTTGCACATCTTCAAAATCTCCTTAATTGCAGATTTTCTTCTGCGCTCTCAAATAAACGCTGATGAAGTGTGATTTAGTGTGTGTTTATATAACAAGTATGTCTCCAAAATGTATTATATTTGCTAGGAATATTTATGAATGTCTCTAATTGACTTACAGAATGATTGAAGCATCCTTACACAAGTGAAACGGCCATAAACTCCAGCAAGATAAAGTCACTGTATGCAGAACCACAGACCTTTATCTAAAAATAAAGTATAATTATGGAAACTGTGTTCATTATAACTGAAAGCTACGTCATGTTTGCTAGACTCATGCATCATGCAGCCCTGTCAGTCAGTCAGTCAGACAGTCAGTCAGTCAGTCACCTTAAAGGGTTAAAAAAATAACGCACAGCACTACTAAAATTACAGAAAAGTTCGCTCTGCTATAATTCATTTTTTAATATGTTGTGGTGCGATTATAACCCGCTATTAAAAAAAAAAAAAAAAAGCAACAACTAAAGGTTTTGAATGAGAAACTGTAATGTTGCCGTGGCAAGATGAATTTTAGTGTGGTGCCCCACCATGGAAGTATGAATGTAGTGGAAACCATGTAAAATAATACTGCATAGTCTTTGCTTTATAAATAATTCAATAAAACTAACAATTAATTACATATGGAAAGTTAAAAATGGTACAATTTCTTATGCCTGAATGCTTTTAAAATTCTTATAGTCACCCAAAAACCCATCCAAATGTTAAACTGATTCAGTCTAAACATTGCACCCTGCCATGTGATGATTGCAAAAGTTCACACTGCGATATCCATGCTGAAACTATATATTGTGTGGCCCTAGTTAAAACTTAGGCTGCGCCCAAAATCGCATACTTCCATACTACAGTATGTAGTTTGCTAGAAACAGTATGCAAGCCGAAAAGTAGGTCCGAATTCATAGAATTCAAAAAACTGTATGCAAAAAGTACCCGGATGACTTACTACTATCAGCGAGATTCTGAATTGTGCATCGGATGCACGCTGCGCTGTCCTATGATGTCCCACAAGAGAATTCATGAATGGGAGTGAAGCGACGCAACTCATGCGGTTAAGGTTACGTTATCATACGGCTCACATTCATACTGCATAGAACATACCTTTCTAATGGTCGAGTAGTACATTTAAATTCAAATGCAGTACCTACTGAGTAGTAGGCGGTTTCAGACGCAGCTCTAGGTTTTGTGTCACTATTACTGTAAGGATTCATATCCAGTTTCTGTCACAGTCATTATAGTAAGTAGCATTAATGCATCATTTAGTGGAACCTCAATGAATTGCAGAATAAAGACTAACCAAATTAGAACTCTAGTAGACATCTGCTAAAATAAAGAGACATTAGGAGAACTTACACTGCTGTCACTTGTTCCCGACACTGGATATACTGTCCAGCCAAGCTCTGCGGTCGCTGTGGTGGAGTCCATCAAAATTTCTGCGGAAACAGGAGGAAACATAAAAAGGTTAAACATCCAGGTCGTGCTTTGTACACTGTTCAAATCCTCTGAGTTCATTCACAGATATGAGACAAAGCTTCCTGCTATCTATCATTTATCTTCAATAAACAGAGTTATGGAATTTGCTAATGTTGTCTCGGCATTTCCGAGAGGTTCCTAAATTACAAATAAACCCCAGAAAGAAACAGAATCTGACATGAACCTCAAATTTACAGCTTTTTATCCCAAGTCTTTGCCTTAGGAAATGCTGTGGAAGTATAATAAGCTATGAATATTTCATACATTTTCATGCATCAACATCATTCTTTATCCAGACATTTATCGAGGCTTGTGATACCACTTAACCAACTGCTCCATAAAACACTATCAACAGGTTTGACACGAATCAGCCTTAAATCTGTTTCAATATTACAGCCGTCTCCAGTAGTAAAAGATAAAAAATGCTTTAAAATCAAGAAAGGGGCAGGAAACGGTGGGTTCTGCTTTCCCCGCTGTGTAACTGAGCCAAGATATTTTAAAGACAACAACCCACTATCTGGCTCCGGCGCTGCAGAGGTTACACTGGGGTACAGGATGTAGGTTAGCAGTTGGACAGCGATGAGATAACCACTAGAGACACTTTCAATAATCATATGGCACCATATTGATACTGGGAAAGGCTAATCTTTCACAGACTTTCCTACATCTCAGCAGGCGAATGTGAATATCCACAAAAATGCACACTGCATCGTTCCAGCCATATCTACCCAAGGGAGAAACTAAATTTGTGTGCAGACTGATTTCTCATATTAGTTTGGGTTGCCATTTATGGGTGTGCTAAATGAGAAACTGCTTAAAAAGTCAGTATTTTCATGCCAAAAGAGGCAAGTGAATTTTAATTTGGCTGGCTTGCGCTGTGTGCTAATTTAAAACATACCTTTTGAGTTTCAAACAAATCTGTTCTTCGGCTGCCTTCCCATATTTTGGTGGATTAACATTTGTAAACTGCGCTTGCCTTCAATGTGGAATCCACACACTTAATCAAATCTAAAAAAGGTGACGTTGAAAAAGGCAGCTATAAAATCACTAAACAGGTGCAGCCCTCTCTCTTATCTATATTCAGCAAGGATATAATGGCTTCGGCATCAGCAATCACTCAAAAAAGCTCCACAAATAGCCGTACATTTGCATCAAAGATTCATGCATTCTTCTTCTTTCCTTGATTAAACATTAATATTCTACAGTTTGTAGAAATACAGGGACATGGATTTTATGCATGCTTGCGCAGTAAAGAAACTGTGGATGTACGGTAAGTGCCACTGAAAGGCGAGGAGTTATAATCTGATGAAAGATGGCCATTTGATCCAGAAAAACCAACTTATTAACAATTAACTTCAATTACTCTAGCTGTTCAACATCAGGGCAGACCTTTACACAACAAGATTAGCCAGGCTTCCACCCACTCATTCTTCAGACTTCTAGGTTGAAAATAAAAAAGTGAGAGTTACTGGAGGCCAGTTACTCTACTTCTGCTGATTAGTTGGTGTTAAAGAACATCTCAAGTAATTGGGGTCAAAGAGAACACGTTTTGCCGTCTGGGGTCCTCAGAGGCACGGGGAGTATAGTTCTCGGTTCAGATTGGCCGTCAGTCATCCCATGCGAATATCCCGTGCTATCACATTGATGGCTTAATTAATTTCCTCTAGTAATTAGAGTAGAACTAAGTTGTTGAACTTTTGAAAAGAATTAGACGAAGGAGCTTGATAGAAACAGAGGAAGTTCGGGTTTTATCACAGTCGAATGCAGCTGTTTTGACTTCCTTTTACAAGCATCGGAGTACAAAACGTCTTTCAGAGGCTCAGCTTGAGGCCAATATAATTACTAGTCTTAGCTATTGGAAATACTTATTCATTTACAGAATTTTCATTAATCTTGCATTAGGCTATTTGATCATTTGAAATGTGCTTTCGAATGCTGGTTGCAATTAAGACGAGGCCTTGAAAAAAAAAACGACAGCGATTTTGAAGGAAAACAGTATGCGTACTGTTTGGGGCTATGCAGAGGAATGCAGCATTTCGGGCCTGTCTCTTTACCTCAGATTCCCTCAGAATTCTTTTCCAGGAAAAACCAAAGCGTTCAACGAATAAACTACACGTGTATCCAATTTATTTAAAAAGGACATATTCCATCACTTAGGAACACAAATCCAGGCTAAATTACGTTTGATTATCACTAAGCCTAAAATTTTGTAGCTTGTACGTCCACCCATATCATCCAAAACTGAAGATCTGCTTTTGAAGGAACACAGAGGTAAAATCAAAATGCAATTATAGACCATAATAAACAATGGAATTGAAAAAGTGGCAAAGCGAATTGTCTAAGCTCATGCAGAGTACTTATGGGCATGTGCTCCTTCATAAAGCACCAAGAGTGGGTTTGCTAGCGGTGAGGCAAACATACTTTCCCTTTCATAAGCTCCTGTGCTTTATAAGCTCCTGCTTTTCGCAGTCTGGAAGAGTGATGCAGTGCCTGTCCTCTACCGTGCGATGGATAACCCCCCCAAACCAGAGGCCGCGGCGTGCGCAGAGCCAAGCTAGAGATTTACGACTCCCTGCAGTTACAGCCGTACCTCACCGCTACGCCTTGCTTCGAGCTCTTCATCCTTTGTGACGAGGTAAACCAAAGAGGTCTGGTGGCTCCACGGGACTCTCTTGTAGACTTTTTGAAGAGAATGGTGGATGTGGCACCATGAGGATTGAATGTGTTTATGCTCGCACCACGTCTGGAGGTGACAACACATTCCAACATGGGCTCATGAATAAGCTTGAGTCATTGGAGGGCTCAGCACAGTCATATCTCAGCCATTGTAAGACCCGGGAGAACACGTGAGTTTAAGCTTTTCAACAGGAATGATTTTTTTGGGAGCTGTGCATTTCCCTAAGGTAAAAACGTAATGGAAGGAGGAACTTTCTAACAGCTTACTGAGAAATCCCCTTGTAGTGTGTTGGGGTTCAACACATGCTCATACTTCAGCTTTTGCTATATGCTTCACCTGAGTTTGTGGTACAAAATGAAAGCTAATATTTTCCAGAAAATGAATTGCACCTGACAATAAGTTGCACTATTTCAAATGTAAAGTGTTGAGGAGGTTAAAAAAAACATTTTACTTAAATTGTAATCAGAAATGTATGGAAATGTGTGGAATGTATCCTGCCAGTAGCCTAGTATTTTAGTATACCCGTATTGTAATGCCTACTTAACAAACCTATTACAATATATATATATGAATAATTTTAGGGTTGGGTTGATAGATGTCGTCGTCCATCGGCAATGGTCGATAGGCATCACAATGCTGAGCCTGAATTGCGATCCTCCACCCAGCCCCCATTGCAGCAGCAACCCACTCCCAAAAATACACACCCAGGCCCTGTTTACACTAATATGTCTTAGTTTTAAAATGGCATTTTAAAACAAATACGATCCACATCGGCAATGGCGTTTCACTTTGCATTTCTGAAAACCCCCCCTTCTACACTGTACCGCTGCCAGCAGATTCTGTCTGGGCCTAGTTAAGGGTAAAACAAAGACCAAGCGGGTCAGGAAGTTGACACGATAGACTAAAAATAAATTAATTCGTTATGAATTTATTACTTATTCATAATTAATTCACCGCCACCTACGACGATGATGCCATTGTCCATCACAATGTTTCACATTAGACATCGTCGATGCCAAATTGGTCAACATTGCCCAACTTTAAATAATATTACTTTTAAATTAGAGTGACATTCATTTAAAAAAACAGATTTATAATAATAAAAAAAATGTGTTTAAATCAAAAACTAGTTTTGTGTGAAGTTTACAAGAGCAAAATCTAAAATTCTGTGATCATTTTACACAAGAAAAAGTGTACATTTTGTTCATCGATTGTGCAGATAATATTGAGAGTCTGAATCAATTTAATTGAAGTTAATTTGTATACTGTTTTTCACAAGAATGATTGTTTCAAAGCAGTTTTACAAATGGTGCACATACAATCAGAATCACAAAAGTTAAAGTTATGATGACTTTAGTCGGAATAAAGTAATCAAAAATATTGTATTTTTGGTTGTCCAAGTAAGCATACTGGTGTCCAAAGTGTACTCAGTGATGACTTTTTTTTTGTCAAATAAAAGGTTTTTCTAGAGTCATCCACCATAATTTTGTGTAATTTTTGTAGTTACCATAACCTTTAATTAACTAGTAACAAATTACTAATAGCTTTTAACAGTTATTATATAGAAACATAGTTAACCTGCAGTTATATAGTATACAGGTGTTGTCTATGTGTAGATGTTCAAATGTTCAAAAAGAGTCATTTAACCAAATCCAGCGATATGTATTGATAACCCAAGCCCTTGTTTTCCTAGTATTAGGGCACCGTGGCATTTCATCTGAAGGTTAAATAGGCCAGCTGTTCAATGCAAGGCTGTAAACAAAAGGAGCCTCTGAACACCAGTCCACGGTAATTGATAGGAAACAGGATCCGTTCAGACCAGGGATTACCGTCAGGAAAATTGATTGGTCAGCAGCTATGCTCCTGAGCCAGAAAAAAATGGCACCTGTTAAAATTTCTACTTTAAAAAAGGCTGCGGAAAGTTATTTGCGGAACGCTGCCGTGTAAAATGGCTACACGCATCATTAACAGGAGGGTCTGTTTATTTGGGGAGGCGATTAGGGTTTGAGCAGCAGACCACAAAATGCCACACACACTCTCTCTCTTGGGCACTTCACACAGTCATAGATATGCATTCAGTGACCTTGATTCTGGGCTTGTTTCCAAATCTGCATCAACAAATGTCAACTTGAAATGATAAATGGAAAGTCTTCAAATGATAAATCCATTTCCTAAAAAATCTCATATAAAATAAATTTTCTGATATCTCTTATACTGGTGTATGTCTGCCGCTGATTTTATATTCTCTCTGGAGGATCCTTCCGGAGAAACCGGCTGGACTGA